CCCACACATCCCACTTCTTCCGCTCAAACTAACTAAGGTATAGAGCCTGCTTCTGAGTCCTCTGATAAAGACGTTCTACTTGAAACGGTTCCAACTTCTTATCAAACATACGTTTATTAAGACACAAAATATGTCCATAGTATCGAGTTTTTAGCAACACAATAAATAAAGCGTACAAAATTACTTTTAGTAAAAAAATATATGTCTTAGCGGGAATAAATATTTAAGAAAATAAGAAATAGACCTGTCAGGATGATCATCACACTATAAACTAAGAAAATGTTATATACATAACGAACTGAGCACCATGATGAGATAGCATGAGGAAAGAACTCAAATGGACTTTAAACTGAGATTCTATGACCTGTTATGCTAGGAAATGTTGTGGTAAACTAGCCCTGTTCCCGTCGCTTGCTTTCGAATCCGTTCCCTGGAAGAACACATTTTGTGAGAGATTGGTGGCAAAAAAAAATTTTAGTAGAATGGTAGTGATCCTGTACACCCACCGATTTTACCAATATTCTCTTGTCGAGTATTCTTTAATTCGGAAATTTCCACCGATTTTGTGCATTTATCGAGAGGTGGCAGAACTTTGTTCTCTATTCTTGCGCAGCCAACCTACATAAATGACCGATAGATGATTCCTTTGGAAATCAAATAAAACGAGTCAAACGTACAGTTAATAGTAATGCCGGAAGGAATACAACACCATGTAGTAGACCAAGTCCAATGACTAGATATATGGTTTTCGCGAAGACGTAAACCATATAAGAATCGATTAATAGAACCGGAGTTATGCAGAAGATCGTTGAACATCCTGCTTGAATCATTGGCCACCCGATTGATCTAAAATTTGAAGTAATATAAAAATCCCTATTCAAGTGTTATAAAGAAAGAAAAACAATTATAAAACTTCGGATATGGGCCAATGGCATATCTAGAGGGGTTGGCACAAAATAAATCTGCTTAACCTTTAAAAATTAATCTAATTTTTTCCTCTAAGCTTTTCAGTATTTCTTCTAAATCTCTGATAACTAGAAGTTATTTAGCTGAAGTACAGGCTGTTTTTTCAAATTAAATTTGGTCTAACAATAAGTGACTTTACTTTTCTTAGAAAAGGTTTTTTTTTCAAAATTTCTGAATCTGCAGCCATTCGTTCACGGAAGAGTGTTTTGGTGTATGATTATGCAATTAACGCTGCAGATGCTTGAATAGTAGTTTTTCGGCAATTTTGAACGCCTTTCTGTTATTTGGGTGTTTCTCTTAAATAGTTTAAGCGTCCTAGATCAGTGTGAACACTTACCTCAGTGCATCTGCAAGACGTTCGTCTGTCGTCCACGAGACTGGGTTTCGATAGTAATGGTAGCTAATGTGGGCTAAAAAAAAGCGTTGTAGCTTTTTATGAAGCTTCTTCAAGAAAATACAAAAAGGGAGGAGCATTTGATCATCATCACGTCAAGGGAAATTTCCATTTAAGCAACGTATAGCACGTATAAACCCTTCAAGGATCGCAATGTCCACGCTATCACGTCCACTTGGGCTCATTTGCCTACGAGCTGTAAGCCGCTTGGACTTGAGCCATACAAACAAATGTGTGTTTTCAAACAAGTAATTCTCCAGCTGTTTATAAGTATTTTGCCGAAACCCGGTTTTAGGTGAAATCTTTATTGCTTGATGCCCGTTTCCGTTTTCATACTTATAAATAACTGACACACTAACATGCCTCGGTTAAAGAATGAAAGAACATGGAAACTAGTAATTCCCCAATTTCTTTTT